ATAATTCAAACAATGAGGCGTACGGAAAGCTCATAATCATGTTAGGAAATGTATGCACGGAAAAGTAGAAGGTTTATGACTTTAGGAGACAAATGGTAAGTATGAAAAGTATAAATAGTGCAACATCAATTCGGGAAACATATGTAAAGTGGGTATAATGGTAAACAGAAAAAATAGAATGAGAACAAACATGGCAAAATGATGCAAGAATGTTAAGACAAGGTTAGATAAAGAAGTCGACAAAGTGGTGGCCAAGAAACAAATAAGGTGGGAAGGAATTGTTATCCTTGAGAATCGACTGAAAAGGCAAGAGAAGATCAAGGGTACGTAACTGAATATTTAAACGAACATGATAAAAACATTCAACGTAAGAAAATGGTGAGTAGATTACGGAATCCAGATTTGGTATGACATACGAAATCCTGATAACTAATCAGATACCAAAGTATCCAAACATAGATAGCGCAAAAAAACCGAAGAAAAAAATTACGAATTTCGATGTGGAAATAACGAGAGACACAAAGAGGGAAAGAAAATGGAAAAACTTTTGTGTAAATAGATGAAAAGAAGCTGCAAAATGTGGGACGAGGACCGAGAAGCCATAGAGCATTTAATTACTCAATTAATACAAAGAATTGAAGAAAATGAGTGGAATAGCAAGATGATGGCTGCAACATGGATTAGAATACATTAGAGAAGGGTACAAACCAAGAGAAATAATATTTTCTATTCCACCTTACTGTCTTCTACTTTAATATTCCTTAAATCAAAATACATATATTTTTTGTAAATGTATCTTCCTACAGTATTAAATTCAAAACTTTTTGTGGAAATAGCTTTTTTTATATTCTAGGGTGACAAGAAATTATCGTAAAATCAGATAATGAATAAGCAAACGTTTTTGTAATCTAAAATATGTCAGTAAAATTACAATCTTGCGGTATATCAATCCAACACCGTAGTGTTGGTAGTACTACATTGCATAAACTACCCTGACATCCTCAAAGCAATCTTCTTTTTGTTTATCATGTAGGATCCTTGTTTTGCTGACTATTCTGTACATATTTTGTGTGGTAATAAAAGTGATCTTAATTGTATTGCATACATTTTGTTTCCTAAGAAAACATTGGTCGTCTGACTGCATTACCTTTTTATAACTTTCTTGAATACTTTAATAACAGTATTTTCTCATTTCTTTCAATGTGAAAAAGAGACGTTTTCTCGCACCAAACGTCGTTTCATCAACGAACAAAGTATATATTTGCAACAAAGATGATATCACTCTGCTGTTCCTGCCGAATAACAAGAAATACTACGAAGGGAAGTGATGAAAACACTTGACAAGCACGTGTTTTTTTATATCAAATTAAACTTTTATACCTACATGATCTTCTAGTTATCTCATAGGTTGCAAGTTTAGTTTGTCTTTAAATGTAGACATCTTGACTACTGCATCTTATATGGTTGGTTTATAACTTGCAACTAATTAGCTAGTCGATTGCAAAGACGACGTACCCTTTCATTTTCTATCTTTTTTTTGTTAATTTTCATAGCTTTTTAGAAATTTTTGAATCTAAAAACGGCAATTTTTTTTCAGTAAAAAAAAACTGATAAAAAAAACTGCTTTGCGTTTACAAATAAATACAAAAATGAAAAAAGAAACCTCGTTTCTTACACTTCACTAATTACGTAATGAGAAACACCACACTCAATGAAATGAAACACAACTCCAATTTTAGAATCTTAGACTTATTGAAACTTTCAAAAGTATTTAAAACCAGTTCTCAAAGTGAAACAATTTCAGAAAAATAGAACTGCATCTTAACACATTATAAAATACACACTTATTTAACTTTGTTCGCTAAATGTATGCTCTAATTGTCGATTACATTATGTATTTATAAGTTTTTAGCACCATTTTCTGTGTTACAACAAATACTAGGTAGTTAACTGGTCAAATATAAAGAAATATTCAGTAATAAATGTTAATAAAATTTAATCATAATAACAAAGGAAACGGTACCTATTTTCTCGGCGGTGCATCCGCTTTATTCCTGTTTTACATTTTTTAAATGAGACACTAATGGTATCACTCCATGAAAAATATATACCAAATTTTGATAAATGTGATAGTATTGTTGATACTTGTACAATTCGTGTGGTGTAGAGGTAACCACCAACGATACCAGAAACTTAGGCTAATAACACTAGTTTTTTCTCTAATGTTGATTATTCCATCGATTTCACTGAATATGTATGAGCTGCAGGTAATGAGGTATCGATAACACTCTCACTGCAAAAATCTTTATGCGTAGAAAATTTTGATTTTTTTCGACTTTGCACCAATTATGATCAGGAAATATATTCGCATTAGTATGAACAACGAAATGAATTGAATTCTATCAAATTAAATTCGATGAATCGTCAAATGCAGCCAAAATATCACTCTGTGTATGTACTTGTTTTATTTGTAATTCCATTTGCTAGAAATTCGGAACAACTTAATTTCATCTTTCTAGTTGCATACGCATCTTCTTAAACATTAATGGCTGTCAGGTGCCTGATTGCAATATTAATATTCATAGATGTACTACAGAGATAATTAAACAGAAAAAACAATAACAATGTAATATCACCATAAAACAAGTATTACATGAATTTTAACATTAATTTGTTAAACATCCTTTAGTTGTGTGCATGATAGCATCACGTGTAATAAAAGCTCTTTAATGGTAATCTTGTTGTATAAATAAACTACACATTTTTCACCTGATTCAACCTTGAATAAAAATCTATACCATTTTTTGTATCCCAAAATAAAAATGATGCAAAAAAAACTTTTTACAAAAATTATCATACCCGTGTCCAAACTGTGTGGAACTTATTCTATATCAAAATATATACAAACATTGTTTGGAAAGAGTGAATAATCCAAGTATTGCAATGCACTTTCCAATATACACTAAATGCATGCAACATCTAGAAATACTGATTTATGTTAACAATTTTTGTTGTAGAAGTCTGATGATCATACAAAATATTGTAATAAACATTTCAGTCTTCTATTTCTAACAATTTTAAAAGTTTTGCTCTGACGGTATGGCTTTCAGCCATAAATTGCGAACTATCTTGTGACGTTATGTGCTTATTATAAAGGTCTTTGCACTGCACCCATGCCAACCTTGTAGGACTGTAAGGGCAGTGGTACGGTGTATGGCGAATCGGTTCATATTCCCTAAATCCTAAATAATGTGATCAAATTTTTTGCCATTTATAAAAATTTCGCGCCAGCTCTTAAAAGGCCGCCAACCTTTAAGTTTTAGTGATTATAAGCATGCATCTCAATGACAAAAAGTTACTGTTAGTAATTTCTAGCGATCTGGAATCCCTAATACACTGACCGGCTAAAAAACTGGCCACCCTGAAAAACTTCGCAAAAAGTACGATATTTTCTTAATTAAAACAATTAAGGGGGCTTTTGTTGTAAACAGTGTTTTTTATCATTTGATTATAAGTTTGGCGGTTAATAAACGTTTTTACGCGAAAATAATGCTGTGAACTCATACAGGTCGTAGTCAGCGCTATGTGCAGGGTGGGCGTTTTTTTGCCGGTCAGGTCAGCTAGATTCATGATATTATTGAAGTAAAAATTTAGATCAAGAAGCAAGCGTATAATGTATGTTGAGTTGCCTATTAGAAAGAGACAAGTGGGTCATTTAACTTGAATCAGCCTGTATAATGTAATTAATTAGGTATGCAATTTTAGGATCATTTGAGCAACCTTAGAAAAGTAAACTCTATCTTTTTACAACACTTTTCATTTTACCAGAGTATATTATTTACAGTGTGCTCAAGTTATACGCTGAAATAATGAAAGTCAAATTTATAGTCCCTTATTTTCAAAAGTGTTTGAAATTTTTTAACAATTTTCTTATATTTCTTAGATGATCCTTCAAAATGCACCAATGATTAATTACCTTTTTTATCCATTATATTATTTATGTATACATGATGGAAACTATGCATTTTACTACATATTTTCATAATAAATGCAACAACCGATATCTACAAATTCAATAATCTGTAAACTAGTGACTGATTAAATATTAAAGTTGAAAGAACACGTGAAATCAATATTTCTACATTTCATTCCATAGTAAATTGCCACAGGCAGGTAATTTAAGAATTATGTGGCATTTAAGGCTTTTACAGGAATTAATTTTTAATTAATTTATTAAATGTGGTGTATTGCAATTACCATTGTAGCGAGATACATTTTTTTTTACGTTTCAATAAAAGATTATTAATTCAATTCTTTCTCAAGTGTCATCACAGTTAATGGCTACCCTCCAATGATCACATATAGATACAGCACCACGCAATTGTAAAATATTTTAGAAAATCTATATTCAAGAGGAATAATTACATTATCATTAACGTGATATTTCCAGAAATGATTATTGATATAGTATATTTTCCACTTTCTTTAATTGATGCTTTGTAACTAGAGAGCAACAAAAAACATAATCAAAGACAGTCATGTATTTTTGCAAGTTTGTCATTGATCAGTGCATATTCAACTCAAACTTTCAATTTCGCGGTGGTTTGACGAGACAAATTTTCTACAAGTCTTCAAAAATCCATAACTGTCTTTGATCTTGTTTTTTATTGCTCTTATGGTACAAACTGTTACATATAGCTTATAGTAAAAGTTGGTAACCCCTTAATAGACCGATATCAAAAATATTGATAATGAGACGACTATTTAGCAAAGCTTTTCAAAGTGCCTCATAGCATATAAATATTAGCATATAATTACTGTTGTAGTCTGGCAAAATTAAATCTTCATAACCACTAACTGTCAACATACTAAGTAAATCTATGGGATCAAAGACCGATGGATTGACTTTATTTAACAAGAGAGTTGAGAAATAAACAATAGCGAACATTTTACAAAAAGCGCTCTATTAAATTTCCCAGTTCCAGTAATCTTTATCTTACCTTTTTTGCTTTCCTTTGTCTAGTCCTAGGTTTCGTAGCAGGTGTCTTTGTGGGCGATACTGGCGCTTCCTTTTTAGCGTTCTTTTTATCGTCTTTTTTTTCAGGAACTTTAGTTCGTAATTTCGCGACACTTTTCTTAACATTATCCTTGGCACATTTTACACTTGTTCTAGTGACAGGACCTTTATGCCCCGCTGCTTCATTTTCTGGGTCCGAAGAGCACACAGAGCCTGACGAAGAACTACACTCTGCATCCTTGGTTGTTTTATCCTTGGTTGGTTTTTCCTTGGCTGTTTCCTTGGCTGTTTTTTCCTCATTTTCACTCATTTTCTCGTCACTGCTTGAACCTCCTGTAGTTTTCTTTACAGAGGCTATTATCAATCGCAACCCATTTGCTGTTTGGGAAGATGTCACTGAAAACTCTGTTGCTTCTGGAGGTGGTGGTGGTGTTGGTGGTGGTGGTTGTGGTGATGGGCTATGTGATGACTCTACGCTTGATGTAGAAGAGTCAGAATCAGAAGAATCGCTTTGGCTAGATGACTGACAACCTTCGCTACCAGAATTCTGAAAGTTTACCATTACATTAATTGTACTGCAATAAAACACATACTTACACTCGATTCAAGTTCAGACTCACTGTCACTGTCACTGTTATCATTATTTTGAGATGTATTTGTGGGTTCTACAGTTAGTCCGGTACTGAAAGCGGCCATGTCCACCGTGCTGGGCAATTCGGATTCTTCTGGTTCCTCGCATGGTTGATGGACCACCGAAGACCATAATTCTGTTTGGCTAGTACCCTCATTGCCTGCCATTTTATCGCCTACAACAAATAAATCTACGTAGAACAATCGAATATATGGCTACATTTAAACAAATCAATATTGGCGCCAAAACAAAATGAAAAAAACAAAAGATACGCCATGTTACTTTGATTTGACACGGCATTAAAACCGTTAACAAAAACACTGACTACTTGCTATAAAAATCGTTGAATTGGGGGCTACAGAAGCTGTATTTTAAATCAAAATGAGATGTAAAGCAAAGACATACATTAATCGTTGCTAAAAAAGTCTATTTCCATGTTTATGTTCCACTTTACAAACAAGATGGCATCCAGCTGATTATTGGGTCGCATATGCGAAGTTTCTCATGATTACCACTTCTATTCCTTGACACTTTTTCCACCTATGCGAAGATTAGCCACTATTTAACTCAGATAAATTCAAATTACACAATAATGGGTTTTAAACTATTGAAAATGTTACATGATAACGAATGTCAGTTGCGCAACAGCGTCTTGGCAACACGTGCTGCCAACATGATATTATGAAAAGTTACTCCAAAAAATCTGACACCTGTCACAGAGATTTCTAGAATTTTCCGGGATATTATTTATCTATTATGGAAAAAAACAAAGAATCATCATTTTTTTACTCTAGTTACACAAAGGATTAAAATTTGGGTTAAAAAAATAAAATAAAAATAGGTTACAGGTGTTTACCGACAATGTGTTACCGATTTTCACACAGACAAGGACCCTACATAAAGTAAGTTGTGGATATTGTGCACAAGGTGTCTCTGCTATTAAAAGCGGGAACATTTATTTGGCTGAAAAGAAAACTTAAACTCTAAAGCGTTACTTCGTCATTCAACAGTTGAAGAATTCACTGTTATTCTTAGACAGGTTTTTCTCTTATTACTGAAGAATTGTTGTAAAATCGAATAATAATAATAATATTTGGAATGCATTAATAAATAACTAAATGTTAAACCGAAATTATGTTCACATATGTATTCATTTTAAAATTTAACCGTCGTATACTCTGCAAAACAAAAATTATACCACATTTTTGTTGATGTCTAAAAACAACGTGTGATTTCAGCTGCTAACAAAAAACAACTCCAGTGGTGATTGTAATATTCTTAGGGTCAGTTTCTACAGTATTTTAACTGAGATTAAGTTAATCACGCATTTAACGAGGCGTTTAGCGATGTCTAATTGGCGTACAATTGAACACGTGGTACTTTAACGCCGTGTTAAAAATTTAATCGCAATCAAATATTTAATTGCGTTTTTTTCTGTAAACCGGGTCTTAGAGCCGCACTACATCTTATACCGTTGAAACAAGGGTGAAATTTCAAGTTGTCATCACGAAACACGCAAACGCAAACATATTATAAGTCTATTATAAATATTAACGTTTGTACGTAGAAATTAAGTATACTACTACCTTTCTTTAAAACGTTTTTGAAACGTCAAAATACTTCCAAAATCTGTCACTGATAGATCTGTCATGCGGCCGTGGGTCTGTCTATTGTTATAAATTAGTGACTAAACTAACTAAAGAGCGGATTCTATAGCAAATGCGTGAAAGTTGTATATATTAAATGTGTATCTGAGAAAATCCTTTTATTTGAGCCCTACTGGTTTTTGCCTATTTGCCTATTTTTTATCATAAGTGCTTTTTGCATTGTTTAAACCTATTTTACTTTTTCTGCATATTCTACACCCAGTGATTGGAACAATTACTTTTAAAAAGTAATGCATTACAATTACTCATTATTCAGTAACAACAGTAACTCATTACAATTCCATATTACTTTTTTTTAAATAATTACTTACTCGTTACTTTTAAAAAATAATGCATTATTTTAACAATTACTTTTTGTACTTTGAAAAATTTGATGAAGACACAATTTTAGATATTTGTTGTATGGGTCCAAAGGGTCAAGAAAAAAACGTGTTAGAATGAAAAAGGCAATGAGTTATTTATTTTACTAACCCATTTGTTACATATTCACATCAGTAAATAAAATAAAACAAATAAATACTTCACGTAAGAGGACTATATTGATAATTTAAATTCAATAATAACTGACATTCATAATTTTCGTCAGCTAAGGCATGACGTTTTGTCTTAAAAACATCCGCGCCTACACTAAATATCCTTTCCACTGCGGCGCTAAATGGAATTGTATTATATTTTATAAACATGTCTCTAAAACATGGAGCACTTTGATTCAGTCGATCTAACTGTCTCCTTGTCTTCATCTGAAAGAGTTTGATTATCTAAAGAACATTGAAAAAACCTTCTTCAACATTATTGTCCACAACAAAAGTTGGGGAGCTAACATTTCTCAAATCAATTGCATTTCTATGATGAGTCTTTATCTCATCCATTACCCAGTTGTAAGCCTCTTGTTTTTTTTTTCAGGAGGAATCCAATCCAGTTTGAATTTTGGGTGGATGCAACTGGAAATTACTGTAGATCGTTTGGACCAAATACATTGAAATCTAAAATTTGATTAACATACTTCTTACTTGAATACCGTCAATTAAATTTTATTGTCGGATTATGAGGGGTTTAAAAGGACGGGCTCTATCGGTTACTTGTTATAGATTTGAGTGGACCAGAAAAATGGCTAAAGTTTGTTTGACCACAAATTTTAAATATTCTGTCCCTGTTTACTCAATTATTTATTAAGATATTTCGTTTCTGCAAGCGCAATGGATTTTTTAATACGATTTCTACAAATGTACCTTTTTGAAAATTTAAAATTGATCCATAAATAGCGAAAATCAGATAATCTCATACTGATCACTATTTTAATGCATTGTAGTTTTTTTTTGATCACATAATTTAAAAAACCGAAAAGCAGTCTGGATAGGATTTTTTGCGCTCATTTCAACGGTGTGAAGTTTATTATAATCGGACGTATACTTTTGGCAAAAACTTGGGCAAAAGTTTAAATGTATTTCTTTATGCTGGAACATGCCTTAGCTCACCCTTAAAATAATGAAGAGCTTATGTGTATTATGGTTACTTAGTTTCTTAACACATTCTGTGCTAAACTCGTTTTAGATTTTAACTCCCTACTGGGCTAATCTTCTCTTTGTGGGGACGAACCAGGTATAATAATCCCAGCAGGTCAGTTAAACGATTCGTAGATAAAAATAAAACAATATTTTTAAATATTCGGGTTAAAAGTAGCAAAAAGTAATTGTAAAAGTGACTGAATTACTCATTACTTGAAAAGGAATTGAATTACAGTAATGAATTAGGTACTTGTAATTGAATTACTTCCAACCTCTGTCTATACCCCTAAGCACATGTTTTTTGTAAAGCTCACATTTAATATTTTCGATGTTATCAAGAAAGATGATAATTCAACCCGAGTTTTGGGTAAAAGGATCGGGGGAATTCCGTTAACAAAATGTCGACAATTCAATAATTCAAATCTATTTTTCTGTGTGAACAAATTTTATTGAACAGGTAAGTACATAGGTAGGTTTTAAAATAATTAAAACACCCATTTACAAATCCCGAAACAAATTGTCTCTTGTTTTTCTAGGAAGAGTTTTGATGTGTTAAATGCACCAAGCCCTCCTACAAGTTTCTTTGCGAGTTCTCTTCATGTATTCTAGGTATTCAGTAGTTCATATTGGGTTTTCGTAGAGTGAAGCTCAAAAGGGTAAAAGTTTTAAAAATTGTTTATCATAAAGTATTTTGTGCCATTTTTAAAAATGCCTAAAGTCAAATCGTCTTCAAAGAACAAGTCAAGGGAATGGACGAAAATCAAAGTTGTTTTTCAAACAGAAAACGGAGAATTGTTTTGTAAAGCCTGTGGGAAAATTGTAAGTATAAATTAATATTAAATGTTGCACAAATGAAATGGGAAAACTGGTTATGAAGTTAATTCGATAAATTCGCATAATAATATATCAATTTTTGAAAAATAAATAAATAAATAAATAAATAAATAAATAAATAAATAAATAAATAAATAAATAAATAAATAGAATGTTTTGTTGTAGATTTCATGGCAAAAGAAGTGCCATCTTCTTCAATATGAAAATATCAAATTAATATATAAAACAAATCTTACTGAAGATGCCAGGCAAACTTTAATGTCCTCATTTCATAGTGAAGACCACAAACATTTTTATTATAAATTATGGTTTTTTGTTTTGTAGGTTAAGTAACTAGAATAGCTTATGCTAGACTTCGCCTTTTTTTTAATAAAGACCTTTATTATTGTTATTATATTATATACTGCAGTGCATTTGTTGCGGCAAATATACCGTTGAAGAAACAAAACATGGCGCTTATTTTTGGAGAGAGAGAAACTGCAAAAATAATATGCCCAAGAAATCAACTTTAAGAAACAATTACCTCTCCCAAGCTTACGATGATGTAAGTATTGTGTGATTGTATAGAAACTTAAGATTGGGAACATCCTAATTTTTGCTATTTTATTTATTTAGTTATTTTACATTGTACTTTTGTGTTTTTTAATTTTTGAAAATACTATAATTAAAAAAATTGACAGCTTAATGGCGTTTTAAGATTAACGTGCTTAAAACATATAATAATGTATGTTGAATACATAGTAATATATGAGACCAGTTTTTAAAATTTTATGAATGAGAACCGTTTGGACATTTGTGTATGTTGCATTGAAAATTGTGTATTTATTGATTTAAAAAATCATATTTTCTATTTGACAAATTTTAAACACTGAAACTTCCCGCTTTGACCATTTTTTCTACAAACCACAAAACTTGCAATTAGTTTTATTGAGATAAGTTTTACAAAAGGTATCTAGAAAATTGTAAGTTTTCATTTGATAACATTTTTCAATATAATAAATCACCCACACACCACCTAAAAATTACCTACTGAAAACAGTCAGTGCACGAGTGGAAAGAACTTGCGTCACTCGGCTTAATCGCACCAGTAACCGTAGATGCAATTCATAAAGCCCTCATAATCCTTCAGATTCGGATGGAACTGAACTGCGGTTGTCTGTGTGATCCACTCGTCGTGCAATGCCTACGGGAGGGGGGAGGGCACAATCCTCAGCTGGGGGAGGGGATTGAAGTTGTGTCAGCCCAGCCAAGCGCAAAACTTCGAATACTTTCATCTACTATTTTTTTTTTGTTTGGGAGAGAAAATGCCTTGGCCAGACCACCGTGTTAGTTCTCGGCACGGGGTACCACCTTAAAACCCTCCATCTTCTGCTCAGGTACCAGAACTTTGCCCCCTTCACCTGGATCCTAACTTCTGAGTGGTCATAGAAATGCTGCCACTGCAGTTCGGTGATTTATTATTGCAACGAGCGCAGCTCTTTTGTAGTGGTCCCCTCTTCTATCCTGGAACATACTAGGGGTAACAGCCAATGAGAGCGCGTTGTGGTGGTCAGTTGGGGTCGCTTTGCGCTACAGTGCCCTCTAAAGGGTACTAGCGTATTTACGCTACGGTAGTAAATAATTAAAAAAAAAATTGAAATGAATTACATACGTATATCGTGTACGTATTTATACA